TAATATGACACAGCAGAGCGGTGTTCGATTCCCATGTGAAAGTAGCAGTTTATGTTGTTTCTATTATCCATGACCCCTCCACAAAGTTAACCACATTTATTTATTACTGTAACCATGACAACAAAGATCGCCTAATGTGCAGGGAGCACTGATTTTTTTCCTAAACCCAACCAAGTAGTTTAAGTGCCTAAACCTAACCAAGTCATAACTGTTATTATAGTAACCATGGTGACGAAGGTAGGTGCGCCACTGCCGGTACAGTCCGCGTGTTTATTATTGTAACTATGACAACCAAAGTCCCCTACACGCTAGATACTCCTATGAGTCCTATCAGAGACGACCTATATGGTTGCTCAGGTTGGAGGCGAATCATCCAGCGGATGGAAATATTTACCCCATGGTGACGATGCATCCCCTGGAGACCATGAATATTCAAATGACATTTCCTGGAAATGCAGCTTATTAAAGAGAGCGTTTGAGCACTCAAAATGGAAAAGGGTTCATTCTCCTGGAACCACAACCATTCAGAACACATTTCATGCTAATCTGGTCAATTTCATGTAACATTGCCTCTTTTTTAAAACTCCCAGGCGTCAATATCCTTTTTTCACAGCAGCACCTAAACCAATCTTTAGTTACTTTATTTTTCTCTGGATGGAGGCCTTACTGACTGCTGTTGAAAAGGCTGTTTGTGTCTTGCTTTTTGCTTTTGAGGCATCATATCTGTGCACTTCTGTGCTTTTCTGCCAATGACAAAATCTGACAAATCAGCACTTCATTCATAGCATCTTTAAAAAAAAAAAAAAAAAACAGGGATCAGATGCTTTTTCTTCTTCTCTTTTCCAGCCACTTTTTGTGGCTTACTCAGATAAGATGACGTATACTAACACAACGTTTTACCTTTAGTATAATTCTAACAGTGGGATACACTGTCACACATGTTAGCTTATATTTTTTTTAGGCTGAAAATGTGCCTCAGGTTTGCACATACCTCTCAGTGCTCTGCCAAATTCATGAAATGTAACCAATCTTCAGCTGAATGCTTCACATGTTCTTTGCCTCAGCTGAACAAGACAAGGATTTTGGGTGGTGAGGAATACCTGAACGCCACGAGGGACGTGAGCTGTCATGACACATACGTGTAAGTTGAAATGTCTTGTTTTTATTTCAGGGTACCTGCCTGTTGCTGTAGGCTACAATGTCTGTGTAACAAGACGTCTCCGCTCCTCGGGGACAACAGAGACACTGTTGGTCCTCTGAACTTTAACATGGACTCAGTGTTGCATTGCATCAATTTTTTAAGTTTTTGATTTATGCTTCTTTTTTTAACTCCCTGCTGCGTATATCACTGCAGAAGTTCATAGCAGCTCAAGCAGATATTTCTGTCAAGCTTTCTGTTCTTTATATGGCACATATTAATGTTTTAAACAATGAGCCTTTAATTTCAGAAACCGTCGAATTTTGCATGGATGAAATGACAACTGCTGCTGGAATATTTTATCATCTATAGCTAGCTGATTTATTCATCACCTCCCTACTGAAAGTGCTATGCAATGTTTTCATGTTTCCAGTTGATTCATTTCAAAACTGGAATCACTTAAAGGGGCTATTTGTAAGTTTTCCCTCCATCTGAACATTGTTTAATACCAGAGGTTAAAATACGTCGTCTGAGCAGCGCTACGTCTTCTGCACAGATTGGAGCCTACAGTGACTCGCTATCGGAAAGTCACAAGACGGGTTAGCGCACTAAGACGTGAAAGAGACAATATTTGTGTTGCCTTGCCAAGTAAACAGCTGCTAATGCTAACGTTGGCTAGCATTAGCAAATAGCTCCTTTTAAAAGTGTCTTCAGTGTGCACTTAATGACCGTTTGCTTACGTACTCGTTTGTATTTTCAAATAGTATGTTTTCCTTTTCAACGTTAAAAGAGAAAAGGCTTTAAGGAGTAGGTTTAACTGATGTGTTTGGGGTAGCACTGGCTGGAGTTGTTGGACTGTAAACAACCTCAATAAAGAGGAGGACAGACCTGCTAATGTCAGCCCAGGACCAGCTTCCAAACCAGAGCTGTGCAAAATAAAAGCTTATTCTATTACTTGCCATATTGATCTCATCTGTAAACTAAGCTAATCAATAACAAATGAGGGCTGTGCTGACTGAATAAACACAAAACTAAATCATCTGAAAGGCAGAGTGTGAGAGTGTTTTGGATTCTTCGCCATAGATGGTTAAAATTACCAAAAAAGATGAGGCTGCAATGAGCCACAATGAATCTGAGGACTTACCTGCTAGCTGCAGCCCAAGGGGAAAAGTGACAGCCCTATTTTAAATAATGGATGAGCTAGTCATTAACTGGGCTCTTTTAACACGACCCTGCAAACTAATCATATGCTCCTTGGCCTTGAAAGTAGCACTACTAAACCAGTTAACTAGGCACGCTAATGTCTCATGATTGTAGAGCAGATAAACACACTGTTTACACCATTCTTACACTTCTGCTCTTGTGTTTTTTTCGGTTTTTGGAAAGGCTAAGACAAAATAAACCACCCTCATGCTCTTTAAATGTTGTGTATCACAGCTTCAGCATGTAGAGAAATCCACAGCTTGACAGGCGAGCTGAGCGGTCTGGAGAACAGTAAATTGAGGTTTAAGTGACTTGCTTAAGGGTCCATCAACAACTCATTTGCTTGTTGAGTGAAGAGATTTTCTTCTGCCTCAAATTTTAAGTTTTTAACCGCGTAGCCCGGGGATTTGAGCAAATGACTGCTCGGTCTATAGTCCCCCACCCCCCACCCTACGAGTGGGGATGAGAATCCTGTCTGTCCCTCACTGTCAACTCCATTATTTGTCTGGGGTGAAGACCAAATTGTCTAACATGGCAAAGAAGAGACGAAGTTGCCAGGAGATGGTGAAACGCACAACAACATAAATAATCAAGTGTTCCTTAGACATTTTTTCTTAGAAGTAATTAAGAATTGAATGGCATCTCCAGAAAAGGGGCTGCACTCTGGGAGCCGCAACGGATATAAAGCAAATTAAAAGTTTACTACAGAAAGGAAAACTCGACACTAATTAAATGCCGAAGAGGCTTGTTGGAGTAACGGTGAGTTCGGTTACACTGTGATGGCCGGAGGGCGGAGCATGAATAGTGGTGAAGGTGACCAGCTGATGTGGTTCGTATGGTCGAATATGAAGTTTGAATATGAAGATGATCAATAGGGACGGGGGGGGGGGGGCACAGGATGGGTTGAGCTGAATGATGGATCTGAAGTGTGTAATTACCCATCTTAATACCAGCACGTTATATATCTGCTAAGCAGTTCATGTCCAGGGGGGAAACATCGGAGCCATCAAATAAGCATTGATGAGCAAGTGGAAAGCGTCCTTGATCGATCAGCCTTTGCCCACCCAGGAGACAACAGTGGAACTGCGACAGAGTGCAATGGAAACGGGTTTAGAGAATAAATCGTTACACAAAGAATGTGACTTTAAAATCCACTCAAGCTTCTGCACCGATGAAAAAATGAAAACGGCGGCAGACGAAACATCAGATGAGGAGACTGTGACTCTGTTCTAATATTTGCATATTAGTAGTGGATGGAAATGCTTGTAAATTCACATTTCCTTTGCTCATATTGGTCATTTCTATTTTTAATTAACCAGAAATGAGAAATGAACCAACAATGGAGTCAATAAACTAAATAAACTAAACTCTCACCGGTGTTACTGAAATATTGTTGATATTTGAAGTTAATTCTTGAATTTGGAAACGGCCGCCGAGAAAATAAAACATGGAGCTGATGATTTGACAATGTCACGTTCACGACTCCCAGCAGTCACTGGACGTCAGTGTGACATGACGACACTAACATCGGTCAGACATTTAATTGTGGTTGAAAATGAAAATGGGGTTACAACCCAACAATGGCTAACTGACAGTTGTGAGGTTGAGTAGACGTTGGGCTTGTCCTGACGTTTCACTGCCACCGCCCATAAAAAAGAAAAAGAAAGAAAAAGAAAGATAGACATCAACTCCATGAAAACTCCACAAAAGTTGAGAACTGTGGTTAGATTGTCACCTCAGCTGTAATATTCTTATCATATTATATTACATCATCATTTATTCATTTACATTTTGGGGCATTTTTATTGAAAATCTTAATTTTCTCTTTAGTTTGCTTTTGGCCTTTTCTCCCCCCCCCCCCTTCCTTTCATAAAAGTGCTGAATATTACATTATTGTCTATTATGAACTTCTGCTGTGACATTTTAAAAGTGCCGTGGAAAACTACTGTTGTCTTCTGCTCTTTGCTTTGTGTAAAGAGAGATTACTGATTCTGGATTTCACCCCGTGGCCGCACCCGCCTAAATTACTTCAGTGGGGATTTTATTGATTTTTGACTTGTTTGTTTGTTGGCAGGTTGATTATTTTCACAGCTTGTAAGCGAGACACATCAATTTGACTTGAAGGTATGGACAAACAGCCGCTGCCTTGTAAAGTTCACCTCACCTTGGTTTCACTGCTGAACCTGCGGATTATCTTTGTTTATTTCGAGCCTGATACTTGCGATTTGAAATGTTACTCCTCCAAATGTGCCACTGCTCTTTCTCTTTCCTCTTCTTTTCTTAGAGATGAAAACCCTAAGACCACACGAGGACTCGCTTACTGCGGGTCCAGGCATCACCTGGCCGTTCCCTGTTGACGCCCATGACGGTACAAATGCGCAGCTTTGACGTCGACGCACGGATATAAGAGAGCGCTCGTGCGGGGAGGTGGAGAGAGTAGAGGAGGTGTACACACAGCTACAGCACACACACACACACACACACACACACTGACACACACACACGCACACACACATATATATATATATATATATATACCCAGCTGGCTGCTGCTGAGGGGCCACCTTCTCCTCCTCCTCCTCCGTCTGGAAAGAGCCGCGTCTCTCAACTCTTTCCGCGCAGCGCCGCGGCTTCTGCGCGTTGTTTGGAAACTCTTTCACTCTCTCTGCTCCACTTCTCGCCTCCAGTCGGACCCGCGCTTTCGCCGCGTTTAAGTTCCTGCCACATTATTGGTGCGTGAGCAAGTTTCCCACTGTTGTGGACACAGCGCCGCAGCGGCAGCACCATGGAGCCGTACACGGTCCCCGGAGCTCAGCTCTCCCTGTCCGACCTCTACTCCGTCATCCCCTTCAATGTCACCTTCCCGGACGAGGAGAGCGGCTTGATGGGCGACAGGCTGCAGAACTACACCGAGCAGCAGACTCCGGTGAGGAGCACCGGGGGTATAATCATTGCCATATCCATCACGGCTCTCTACTCCGTCATCTGCGTGGTGGGACTTGTGGGCAACGTCCTCGTCATGTACGGGGTGGTCAGGTAAACACTGTTTATTATACTCATTGAATTGAGCACGTTACTTGCTATTAATGTGTAATGAGGCTTGATGAGAGCAGCAGAAATATAATGTGAAATTCACCCACATGCACTCATGGTTTTTGTCACTGTTGTGCGCACAAGACCTTACAACACCCGGTGACCGACATCTGATGCTGATCTCACAGATTGAATCCACTTTGGGTGCATTTTTATCCACAACCTCGATCTTAATTTCATCTTTACCTCGCTCTTGGCTTTTTCCATTTCCCCTGTTTTCATAAAAGTACTGATTATAATCTCAAAACAATTATTTTAATCTAAATTAAGCGTTTGATGCCATGAAAAAGTGAGATTTCCTACAACCCTTTGCACAAAAAAAAGGGTCTATAGTCATATGAAGTTCTTGTTTTGTGGAGAAACCTGTAAGAATGAATAAAATGATCCGAAATAGACCCTCGCAGGATTCATGTGTTCTGATTTATACAAAATATTCCAACTAAATCAACATAAATTGAGCCACCTGAATTTTACAACCCTCTTGCATTCCTGGCTGCATCTGTCTCTGTGCATCCCAAACAGCTTCCTGCATAAAGCATGAGATTGTTCTGTCATTATTTCTGCACCAGGCAACAACATGGTTTATGTCAATGGGGAGGTGAGGTGGGGGGGGTCGGGGGTGGGGGGGTTGGTTGGTGGCGGTCGAACCTCTCTCGTCTCAGACGCAGTCCCTCCACTCAGTCTCAGTCTGACTCAGCTGCACCTCCGGCGCAGAGGGCTGAGCCTCCAGTCGCTCACTCAGATCTGTGATGGACACTCCACTGTTCACTGGGTTTGATGGGATTGCTGGTTCTCTCAGGGAGACGGGTCTTTACTTGCTCTGTAAATTAAAGTATACATTATGTGTTTGCCTCTGTATTTTGCCTGTAAACAGGAATGAAGGGGAGGATAAACCTTTTAAATTGAACGTTTTATCCTTTGGCTTGAATCTTTATGGAAAGCTTTGATAATGGGTTTAAACTCTTAAAAATGTAGGTCTGTAATGACAAAAAATGAGTTGTGCTTTTTCAAGAGGAGAAATCTATTCTGTCCATTAGTGGATGTTTGCAGTATAATCGTCTATCCAAGGTCGAAGCTCGCCTTTTCCCCTTAGGCTCTAAAAGCAACACAATAAAACCTACACCCACTTTGCCACTAGATACAAGCACCCTGTCATTTCCCAGGAAGCCTCCCAGCCCCCTAACCTGAACGCTTGTCAGGGAGAAAACGGCTTCTATCTTCTGCAGCAGCTTCTGCTCGTCCTCACTCATCACATCAATTACTTTCTAATCTCAAACATTCTCCAATATCACCTGAAGCATTAATTACTCCAGCTGGGCTGGAAAATTAAACATGCAGGTAGAATTCGTTTAAGATTCCCCAATTGCAGCAGGGGAGGATAAAATAGTTAGATGGAGGGGAAGTAGTCAAGGCCAGAGGTTGTTTTTTCAGCCGACAAACAGGACATGACAGTAAGATATAGTGTGGATGGTTGTTGGTATTATTTAAATGCATACAGTGAGGTGAGAAGGAGAGCAGCAGAGGGAGTGCAGACAGGGATAAAAGACGGAGTTGATTATCGGAGAAGGCCACCAGGAAGCCATCGTCGCCCAAAGTGGAAATCCTTCAATACCGAACAAAGAGAAATTCACAAATATATCCGGCTCTGCCCGTGAATTCCACTCAGGGGGAAGAGAAAATAAAAGGGCAAACCTGGGCACACAAGACAGAACATAAAGAGGGGAAGGAGGGTGGTAAAAGGGAGACAAAAGGAAAGGGATGGATGAGAGCTCGGAAAAAGGCAATGAATCAAATTGTGTGCAACGATTCGCCTGGCATTTTGTGTTTGTGTGAGTGAGAGGGCTCATCAGTGATGCCAGACCCCCCCCCCCGGAGAGGGAGAGAGAGAGGGAGGGAGGGAGAGGGAGAGAGAGGGAAGCAGGCTGAGCACATTAAGCATCCCGGTCAGAATGTATTATCTCCCGTGAAGCAGCTGTAAACTCTGGAGGGCTCGAGCTCGGAGGAGACACCCAAAACCTCTGACAGAGACATAGTGAGGTAATAACACCGATGAAGAGCTGGGTGAACACTGACTAACACGTGGTAATTACTCATCTTCCTTTAGTTGTTGAAAAGTTTGCACGCTGTTGATTTGATAGCCTATCAAAAGCCTTAATTAAAAATGAAAACTGAAATGTGTCAGGTGGGTTCACGCTGCTCGACACGCAACAATTTAACGTTTTAATCCTGAAGATTTCAGACCTGGCTGATGCAGCGACACCTGTGGAGACTGGTGGTAGTGGTGAATATGTGAGGGATAATACCCAGCATGCAGTATGTTCCACTACGATCCTGGAAAGTACAAGTTGCTTTAGCGGAGGGGAGTCGCAATCTACAATCTGCATCACGCTTGGATTTTATTGTGAAAGTCCTGACAGGAAGTTGTGATTCGTATCTTAGCGCCGGTATGAGGTGCTATATGTCGGTGTGTAGATCGGAGGGTTCAGTCAGTGCTGACCCCGCCCCCACGCCTCCCGTTTCCAGCTGTTTAACCTTTAACAATGGGCTGAACTTTTAAAATTAAATATCTAAATATAGAAACTTTTAATCACTGAAAAGTAGAGCGCATACCAAAGTAACATCGTCCACCATCTGAGATCTTCAGATGTTAGGAAGAAGCTGCCTCACTGTGGCTGATATTACTGAAGTCGTCCTCCTTCAGCTGATTTAGATGATTCACTCTAATATCAAACTAATAACCTCAGTGTTGCTGTTCATCACCTACAGTTTAATTAGTTTAATTGTGTCGTAGGTGTCTGGTTACACTGTCGGGTCAATTTGAGTTCATCTAACCCTTCCAGCCAATCGGAAATTGAGAATTCTCTGTTGCCATGGTGAAAGTTTTAACAACACAGGTCCCGCGGTTCAAATCCAAATTTACTTGTTTCACAAAACTTTCGACGGAAGTTTCACCGTCTAGCTTTTTTTTTTTTTCTTACAGCTTTCAGTGACATTTCCTGGTCTTCCTCAGTGGATGGTCCCATTATCACTGATCACCTGTTGTCACGTGACAGAAAAAGTTACCGAGTTGACATTGTTTAAAAACAGAAAATCATCTCATTTGAGAATCTGAAACAAGAGTATCTTTGGTATTCTGTTTGATAATTGATTTCAATAGTAATCAAATAGCAAAATTGATTATTTTTAACTCAATGTTTTTGAAGTAACTTTGATTTTAAAAAAAACAAAAGAAAAACCATTTGTTTGGCTGCCACATCAGCCGGCTCATAAATATAGCGAAGTCATAAATAGTCAGAAATGTTGGATATTTCCCTGCACTCAGAGAGACTCTCAAATGCACAGAAATCCCATTTTTAGCAGAGTGTGCATGGATGCTCATGTCAGCGTGGACTGAACCGTGGCGCTGAGAGCCCTCGGTGTGATTGCTGATGGAGAGGCTGACACTGACTCCTCTGGAGATGGTCCACTGTTGTGCAGGGTAGGTCAGAGGCATGAGGCCTCCGCTTATCTCCCAGCTACCCCCTACCTAGCCTCCCATTCCTTGATGCCACTTCTGTTAGATAAGAACCGGCTCAGAGCTTAGGCAATTTAATGTCAAGTGGCTTCCATTTGAAATCAGTTTGATGTGCAGCTACCGGACGGCGGGATTAGTTTATGAGAATATGGATTCTGAAATGCGCTGCTGCTTGTGGATTATTGTTCCCACTAAGAAAGCAGATATGGGACAACGTTCCCATGCAAACACATTGGTTTTTCTGAGATGGTAATATTTTGGCAAAAACAAAAGATAATGATAAAGCCTGATCCAAAAAAAAAATTTGGAGGAGTTTTGTTTCTTTAGGACCAAGTTGTGGAAATTTGGCCGAAAATATTGCAGCCCTTTGCCAGTAAGAGCGTGACTCTGTGTGTGTTTGTGTGTAAGATGCCAGACTGCCAGTCTGTTTATTTCCTGGGCTGAGTCAACATGGCCAGTGTGTCCTCACTGCTTGTCTTCTATCTCACCCAGCAGCATTTATGTCTGTGTGTGTGAGCGGTGTGTGAGCGGTGTGTGTGCGGCCTTCGGCCCTGGAAAAAAAACGGCAGAGTCGAGCTCACAAGTGTATGAGCACTGACAGGACTGATGTAGTCAGGCCAGGCAGTGTAACGCCAAACCACGTAGAGATAAAGGATGGAGACTGATCTCAAATGCAAATGCTAATTCTCGTTAGCTGAATGTGAAAGTATACGGAGGTCCAGAACCGACAAAAGGCAGTGAAAAAATAAGAGTGAAAGCTTTTTATCCATGTAGCTGATAAAATAAATTAAAACCTCATTTGTTTTTATTTATGTTTACTCCTCTCTTTCTCTTCCACTCCCTAATTTTGTTTTCAAGCTTTTCCTTTCTTGCCTCTTGGCACATTTTTATTCATTAATCTATTTTAAAACACTAATCAGAATAAAAAAAAGTTTATCACTTATTTCCAATTTGACTAAAAGAAAATGAGAGATGTATACTTAAAAAAAAATCATTATTCATTATGTGAAGTGCAGCAATCAAAGTTATTTACAAACTGCACTGAAGCTGGCAGCTGATAACACCGTGTGTTGCTCGCTGCTGCCTGACAGGAACAGAGACGTGATGGTGTGTTTGTGAAATTAGCTTTAGCGCCAGTTAACTTTGTTAGCATTAGCATGCCAGTTAAAATTATGTAGCTACTTTTAGGAAAGTTACAGCAGTATGATGTACATGGATGATAAAAAATACATACATACATTCTAACTGAACCTTAAAACTAAATCTTCTCTCCTAGTTGATTTGGCGACACCTGTGGTTACTGGTGGGAAAAGCAAATGCGGTTTAATACTACAGGCCACAGAGTTCTGGGCGACGCAAAACAAACTATTGTCGTTTTAACAAAGAAGTCAGGCAATCTTTGGCCTGTCTCCATCACTCTGTGAGCAGC